CTCTCTCACGCCCCCTCTCTCTCTCTCTCACGCCCCCTCTCTCTCTCACACACACACGACACACACACGCGTAGATAAACAGTCTCTCAGATACAAGTTCTCACACCATGTGTACATTTACACATGAACGTACAGAAACAGACTATTGCAGACACAAGCACTGACAGGCACACAATCCCATTCTCTCTCTCACATCACACATATATACGCACGTACAGAGCTGCAGACTTGTGTGAGCTTACATACAGACATGTAAACAAACACTCAAACGCATGCCTGTTCTCTTTAGCAAAAGAAGGGCTGCAACCATGAAGTGGGCAGGTGCAATAAGGAGCCGTAGGTTCCACATAAATGCAAGTCACTGCAGTAGGGACAGATCAGGTAGGTACAAGTTTCTCTGTCCTATTTGATCCAAGCTGTTTAACTGCCTGGTTTCCAACTAGACTCACCATTGATCAGAGATGCAGAGAGACCCTCTCCTCTTTACAACCCCCCACCACTTCCCGTGACCCTCCTGCTCTCACACGCCAACCACTGGGTTAATTGGCATCAAAAGCCTGTGGGGGTGGGATGTGGAGATGACGGAGAAATCGAAAGTTCCGAGACAAAGGACAGTGCTGAAGGTGAGCTCTGTGGGAGCATTGGCTTCCCTCCCTTGTCAGGGAGAGAAGAAGTGTTGACAGATCTTTAAAATTAAAAATGGTCTAATTAAAGTTGAATGGGATTCTCAGAAGCTGTGCCCTTACATGCCAGCCGAAACTAATTTATACACTGGCTGTTCTAAACAATATATTGTGTGCAAAGTACTGGGAGATATAAAATAGTGAAGAGGCACAAAAGACTCTTATCATCAAATAGAGTTTTACAACATAGAAATGGGCCCTTTGACCCAACCGATCTTTCTATGTTTGTGTTTCACGTACTTTCCTTCCACCTTACAAAAATAATCCTCTATTCCTTCCTCCCACATGTACTTATCTTGGTTCCCCTTAAAAGCATCAATGGGTAACATATTCCAACTGTACTATGTTAAGAATTTTCTCCTGAATTCCTTGTTGAATTTATTAGGAACTGCCTGGTAGAACTTCTAGCATAGTGGGAATGTCCCTGCCTTGAGCTAGATGCTCTGGTCCAAGTCCCATATCTGGACTTGTCGACCATGGAAGGTGCATTGTGACTGTGCAGGTTGATCGTCAGCCTGTAAATTGCTTGCTGACACCTGATAGCAGGCAACAATCTCAGAAGAGTTACCTGGTCGGTCAAACCACAGAAGGTTCCGGCAAATCACTCTGTAATTTTCCCACCAGCGTGGATTGAGCCGATGGTGGCCCAAGCTTCAATGATGCGAGACAAAAATGGGAGAAGACACAAGCAGACAGCTTGGGGATATCTTCTAGTACGGCTTAAATGAAAAGCCAAATATTGGGCATTCCAGGGATCTGAAATAAAAGCAGAAAATGTGAGGAGTACTCAACAGCTCTGGCAGAAGAACTCTCCACAGATGCTGAATCCTCCTTGCATCCTTAACCAAGTACTTCTCAGTGACTTTTACAGAGACAAATCTTTATTCAGCAACTATCTCCATGTCTGATGTATTCTGTTTGGAACCTGACAATCCACAGCTTGTGTTCGGAATCCACCTGTGAGTGCGGGAACCTCTGGGACAATTCTCGGTTTCTCCAACTGTTGCTCTAAGCACATCCTGAGACCCGCATCTCCCTGTAGCTGTTGCTGCTGCCAAAGCCGCTGAGTATTTGCAATATTTTAATCTTTTTGTTGACGGCCCTTAATTGTGGACACATGAGTCACTTTGAAATTACAGGCAGATGATAATGCAGGCACACTTTGTGAGGCATTTTGTGTAGAGCAAGATCCCACAAACAGCAATACATGAGAATCAATCTCTTTTTCATGATTTTGATCGTGTTCGGTGCACCAGGGAAGCAACATTCCCTCTTACTTTTCTTTCTTCTGCACGGACTTCCAAGGTCCATACACGGCAGTGATTTCCAAAACAGGAAATCCATTCCAGGAACGTTATCAGCTTGCCAGTTAGCATGCATGGACCCTCGGAGTGACTGCACAGCCTAGAGGGTGCGTTGCAGAGGAGATGGCGACATGGTGGTAGTGTCACTGGGTTAGTGAGCCAGAAGCCCAGATTAAAGCACTGAGACACAAGTTCAGCTCCCACTACAGCAGCTGGTGGAGTTTAAATTCTGTTAATAAATCCGAAATTTAAAACTCATCTCAGTAATGGTTACCGTGAAACCATCATGGCCAGTTGTAAAAATCCATCTGGTTTACAGATATCCTTGAAGGAAACCTGCTGTATTTACCTATTCTGGCACTATATTACATCCAAACACAACAAACAATTTGCTGAATTTTTATTTTCATTTCTCTGAGTATCTATTGAGGTCGTGTGAATTGGATCTGGGACAGCAAGCGGCTTTTACAATAGAAAGGAGGAGAACACGCCCCTATCAACATCAGTGGAGCTCAGTTGGAGAGAGTCGAGAGAGTTGAGAACGTCAACTTCCTAGGAATGACAATGACCAAAAATCTGTCCTGGTCCTACCACGTAGGTGTGACAGTCAAGAAGGTACAACAATGCCTGTTCTTCCTCAGGAGGCTTAGGAAATTCGGCATGGCTATAAGGACCCTCACCAACTTTTACAGATGCACCATAGAAAGCATTCTGTCTGGGTGCATCACGGCTTGGTAAGGCAACTGCTCTGCCCAGGACAATAAGAAACTACAGAATATTGTGAACACAGTCCAGACCATCACCTAAGCCAACGTTCCATCCATTAACTCCATTTACACTTCTCATTGCCACAGAAAGGCAGCCAACATCATCAAAGACCCCTCCCACCCCAGTTATACTCTCTCCCAACCTCTTCCATCAGGCAGAAGATACAGAAGCTTAAACACATGTACCAACAGGTTCAAGAACAGCTTTTTTCCCTGCTGTTATTAGACTTCTGCATGAACCGCTGTAATTTCAAATCTAATGTTGATCTTGCTTTTGTGCACCTACTGTGCAGCCGTAACCTTATACGCCTTGCTCTGTCTAAACATCCTATGATCTATTTGTCCTTGTATGTTATGATCTGCCTGTATTGCATGCAAAACAAAACTTTTCACTGTACTTAGACGCGTGTGACAACAATAAATCAAACCAAATTTTCTCAAGTTGGGAAAAAAAGAAATAAAAACTAGCATTCATATAGTGCCTTTCATGATCTCAGGATGTCTGAGTGCAGCTTTTCTAGTGTAGCCACTTTTGGACATTTCATTGGCAGACATGACCACAGTTTAACCTGTTATCCAAAGAATGGGAATCAGGCAATGCACCACTTTACTTGGTGTTTTGCTATTGTATCAACTTACACCATGTGCACATGCCAGGAGTGAGGCTGCAAAAACTGAGACCAACTGAATCAAGGATGAAGCAAATTGCATTTTCATAATAACTTGTTAAGACCTTATGATACCCCAAAGTTTTCTCCAGCCAATGACAAACATTTGAAACATGGTCACTGTTGTCATGCACAAACCATGGTAGCCAGCTTGAGTACAGCAAGCTCCCAAAAACAGCAATGCAATTTGTTTTTATTCACTCAGCTTATTGCTGTTATTTCCTCTAACTGGGAATTACGATCCCAGTTCATGTTGACATTGGACAAGTCAGATTTCAGAGTGGAACTATTATGGACCACAGATTTTGTTTTAACAATTTGGTTACTGTGGTGTCAGTCACTGCAAATATTCACAGGAGGCTGTCAATGTGCTTTTAACAAAATAATATAGGCTTATTAAACAAAAAGAAAAGGGAAAAACAAAGCTCAATACGGAAGACAGTTTGGAAAGGTCTTATCATAAACAGCAAGAAGAAATATGCAGCCTGTTTCCCCAGCAATATATTTTATAATCAATTCCAGTGAAGTAACACTCCCATTTTTTAATTTCTTATGAAACTGACAAGGTTGCAAACCTTTCCTTTCTGCTAATTTCTGCACATTCGCCAGATATGATTCTCTCCATTACTGTCTCTCCTGAGACACAGAGACACAGGCTAATGCACTGACACATTTCTGAATTCGAAGAAAAATGCAGGATTTCTTCCAGATACATTGACGACTTTGAGTTGCTAAGCAGCACATCACACTGAACCTATTTCTGGCCTCTGGTTTTTCCATATGTCTGTTTCTAGGTCATAAATCTTAACTGAGTAAACATTTCAGCAGTTATCTCACCAGGTAGTTTATGTACGTGGGAACAGCAGCACCTGCAAGTTCCCCTTTAAGCCATCACCACCTTCTCAAGGCAACTTGGGATAGGCAATAAATGCTGGCTAGGTCAGTATTGCCCATATCGCTTGACTGAATATAAAATGTCATTTAGTTTAAGTCGCATGATTTTTAGGAAAGGCTTTTTTGACTTAATGCTAAAACAAATTCTGACCCTTAAAAAATAATTACCTTCATAGAATTGAAAATCAGAAACCCATTTGCATCAACTTATGTACACAAATTCCTGAATAATAATATATCCTTTAATAAACCTTTATCACATGAGTGGGTTGCCTGGCATTTTACAATTAACAATTAAGAATTAACCAAATTGTGGTGGCTTTTGAGTCATCTAGTCCAGAATAGGAACTTATTCTCAACTCAAGATCCACGTCATCCGTCCACATTGTAAAAAGGAGAGAGATGGGGTGATATTACCAGGCTTCTGAGAGTTTCTGGATATCAATTCTGTATGTTTGAGTGCCTAGCTTTACTTCTTATTGATCAATGGTGCCACAGTTCTCTCCACTGTGCTGCTGTGAGATTTAACCTTTGACATTTGGCCTTTTACCCACAGTTCCTCGAGTCAATGGCCATACGAAGCTGGAGAGGCGGCATGAGGTTGGCAGCTACGAAAGCTCTTCTACCTTGATGAGCAGCGAGCTTGAAACCACGAGCTTTTTCGACTCGGATGAGGATGATTCCACCAGCCGGTAGGGGAGACTTGCAGTGAAAAGGCTGCTGAGTTTGTGGAAAACTATTGACGGGGCAGTAGGACCATGGGGCAATTGGGTACATGCAGGACAACAACGTGAATTGGTGGGTGGATAGAGTAGGACTTAATTAAAACAGCCTCTGACATATCTTTCAGGAACTGGGTCAGTTTGACGGAGGTTATGGTGGGAGGTAGAAACAATGGTAAGAGTGTGGAACTGGTGATGGAAGCCATTTAGTGAAACAGATGGGTTATTACATGAGCACAGACAGCGCCTTAGTTAACATCTCATCTGTAAGACAGTACCTCTGGGGGAGGAAGGGTGAGAATTGATGTCTTTATGGGAGAGAACCTGACAAGGATTGGAAAAGAGAGCACACAGCAGTCAGACCCGCAGATATTCTCCATGTCTCGGAAAAGTGATTCGTTTTCACAAAAAAGAGCTTGGGAAAGAATATCTCAGAAAAAAATGAAGCCAATCTTTACAGTCCCCTACAAATCAGCCAGAATAGAACCTGGGGCTAAAGGGATCAAAGGATATGGACGAAAGCAGGAACAGGCCATTAAGTTAGATGGATGATCAGGCATGGTGATAATGAACAATGGAGCAGGTTTGAAGGGCTCAATGGTCTGCTCCTTCTCCTATTATCTATATTTTTATGTAAACTACTTGGCCACTTTCCTTGGCAACTCTAGGGATGATTAAATAACTCCACAGAGACCAGTATCCTGTCACTAAGTTGCCTTTTATTCGCACGTGGAGAGTCCTTGACACTGATCCAGCTCCCTCAGAGTGAACAGAACCTCTGACACTCCTGTTTATATCTGTCAGCCAGGGCTCCCTGATTGGACCAGATTAACAGCCCCAATCAGGGAACTCATATTCTTTGAGGTCCACCTCGCTAACCTCGTTCCAATCACTACAGGTGAACCAAACTATTCCCAATCTCGGTGTCATTTTTCACCTCCAAGATGAGCTACTGAGCCCATTGCTACACCAACACTAAGATCACCTATTTCCACCTCTCTGATATTGCCCAGTTTGGCTGGTCTTGTGCTGAAACCCTCATCATGCCTTCGGTACCTCTAAATCCGAATACTGCAATTCACCCCTGGCTCATTTCCCATTTTCTACCCTCAGTAAACTTGAGATCTTTCAAAACTTATGAGGAATTGTGCCTCAGTGTGCACTCAGTCCTGTGCCACTGGTCTACATTGACTCCTGGTCAACAACTTTATTTTAAATTCTCATCCTTTGTTGTTAAATCACTCCATGTTGCACCGCTCCAGGGCTATGAGAAGTGGGGTGGGAGGGGAGGTGGTTTTGGGGAAGGCCAAATGGACAGATGCCTCTGAACAGCCTACCCTGTAGCCATAACGCACTGGGTGGGGACTAAATTGGTGCAGAGTGACTCTTGCTCCCCCAGTGGGAAGAAGACGGGGTGAGGGGGGAGTGTGGGTGTGTGCAGCCAGTTTCTAACAGTCTGGAGCTGTCTTATGAGTGCTGCCCAGAATGCACACAGGCCCAGGATGAAGGCATCAATGAACTCTGACCCAGGGGCACTGAGGCGTTAGAAATGGGCTGAGGGAGGAGAAGTAGTTCGGTTTTAATTTCCTTGCAGAGAAGAAGCAAAAGGTTGGTAACTATCTCTCAGGGAGTTGAGGGGGCTGCGTAGTGACCTTAAATGTGCTAAGGGCAGTGTCTAAAATGAATACCCACCCCTTTCATAGAATAATAGAATCCCTACAGTGTGGAAACAGGCCCTTTGGCCCAACAAGTCCACACTGAACCTCAAAGCATCCCACCCAGACCCACCCCCTCTACACATTCCTAAACACTGCGGGCAATTTAGCACGGCCAATCCTCCTAGCCTGTACATCTTTGGACTGTGGGAGGAAACCCACACAGACACGGGAAGAATGTGCAAACTCCACACAGACAGTTGCCCGAGGGTGGAATCGAACCCGGGTTCCTGACGCTGTGAGGCAGCAGTGCTAACCACTGAGCCACCATGCCACCCGTAAAGAAAGCAGTAATATCCCTTTCTTCCTACACTTTCAATAACACGTTTTAAAAAATACACAGGCTGTTCACACTAACTGAGTGATGACATGGGCAGGGTCTTTTCGAGGTCAGTTGAGCTCAAGTTCCTTTGACCCTTAATAAAGAGGTGCCAGCTTAAGACTGAGATGAGGAGGAGTTTATGTTCTCTGAGAGTTGAGAGTCTTTGGAACTCCTTGCGACAGACAGCTGTGTGAGCAGACCCCTAGTGTGTATTTAAAGCTGAGATAGATTTGTGATCAGTGGGGAATCCAGAATATTAGGGAAAGTGGCTGCGAGTAGTCTTAGACCAGCCACGGTGCTATTGAATGGTGAAGCAGGCTCGAGGGGCTGAATGGCCTACTGCTGTTCCTATTTTTTTATGGCCCTAATTATTTATTAACCTGTGGTGGGTGCGTTATAGACTTCAGCACCTACTTGCCCTCTGTAATTCGGGGGTGAGATGTGTGGCAAGGTGTTTGCCTGGGTTTCCTGATTTTATGTGGTTCCTACTGAAAACACGTGGGGTGGGATGATTTAATGTCTAGGCCCCGTCTGTGCATCTGCCCTCCCCGTAGCCTCACTGCGTCTGAGACACCTGTGCTCATTTAGCTCTGGCTCTTTGAGCATCTCTGAGTTTAATTACTCCACCAGTGTTCACCACGCTCCCAAGCGCTGGTATTCTTTCCCTATAAACCTCTCTCATCGCCTGTAAAATGTTGTTGTTTAAAACTCACTTGTTTGACCAAGCATTGCCCAAGTAGTCCCTGGTATCAATTGGTGCCAGTTTATGTTCCTGTGCAGCACCTGGGGATGTTTTACTACATGAAAGGTACAATACAAATGCAAGTTCTTATAAGAACATAAGAACTAGGAGCAGGAATAGGCCGTCTGGCCCTTCGAGCCTGCTCCGCCATTCAATAAGATCATGGCTGATCTTTTCGTGGACTCAGATCCACTTACCCGCGTTCTCACCGTATCCCTTAATTCCTTTATTGTTCAAAAAAAATCTACCTTTTTTTTAAAAACGTTTACTGAAGTAGCATCAACTACTTCACTGGGCAAGGAATTCCATAGATTAACAACCCTCTGGGTGAAGAAATTCCTTCTCAATTCAGTCCTAAATCTGCTCCCTCTAATCTTGAGGCTATGCCCTCTTGTCCTAGCTTCACCTGCCAGTGGAAACATCCTCTCTACTTCTTTCTTATCTATTCCCTTCATAATTTTATATGTTTCTATAAGATCCCCCCTCAATCTTCTGAATTCCAATGAATATAATCCCAATCTACTCAGTCTCTCCTCATAAGCCAACCCCCTCAACTCCGGAATCAACCGAGTGAACCTCCTTTGCACCCCCTCCAGTGCCAATACATCCTTTCTCAAGTAAGGAGACCAAACTGCGCACAGTACTCCAGGTGAGGCCTCACCAGCACCTTGTACAGCTGCAACATAACCTCTCTGCTTTTAATTAGCAATGAAGGACAAAATTCCATTTGCCTTCCTAATTACTTGTTGTACCTGCAGACCTACCTTCTGTGATTCATGCACAAGGACACCCAGGTCCCTCTGCATAGCAGCATGCTGCAACTTTTTACCATTCAAGTAATAATCCTTTTTACTATTACTCCTACCAAAATGTATGACTTCACATTTATTTACATTGTATTCCATCTGCCAGACCTTTGCCCACTCACTCAATGTATCTATGTTCCTCTGCAAAGTTTCACAGTCCTCTGCACACTTTGCTCTGCCACTCATCTTAGTGTCATCTGCAAACTTTGACACCCTACACGTGGTCCCCAACTCCAAATCATCTATATAAATTGTAAATAATTGCGGTCCCAACACCGATCCCTGAGGCACACCACTAGTCACTGACTGCCAGCTAGAAGGGAACCTCTTCAAAATAAACTATTGAATCTTAACAATCCTTGCACATTTTGTTGAACACTTTTGATAGTTTCTGTGATGTCTACTGCCCTCTGGTGGTATGTATGATTTGTTGCACCTCCCAAAAAAAATCTAAATCTGTTGTGTCAGCATTACTGACTAACGTGTTTATTCCTGTTTTTCAGGGTGATTATTTTGCCTCCAATTTTCTTTTCTCCTCAAGGCCCAAGCTCTTGTGGGAGCATAGTTCCACAACCCATGTACACTTCCAGTACTTTACCAATAAGTACATCCTTTCTGCATGATCGTAGATAGTCAGTCTCTAAATTAACCCGCTCATGTGACTAGATAATACTTGGGATCCACCCAAATGCCCCCTACCCCCACCATTCCACTTCCCTAACAGCCTCAAGTTTGGACCCCACTCTGTACTAGGTTAGATGATGCCTCAGCTAAGATAGTAACCATGATGGACTTTCCATTGACTTACAAAGTTTAAGTCATAGACTTGAGCACAAAATCTGGACCGATACTTATGGTACCACGTCAAGGGAGTGCCATATTCCTGCAGGTACTGTCCTTTGGATGAGCCATTCAACCAAATTCCCATCTGCCCCCTCAGTTGACTGCGAAAGCTCCCAAATCACTGTTGGGGGGGGATTGTCGTGGGTGTCCTGGGCCAGCCTTTATGTATGAAACAAGGTTTATCTGCTCCTTATCACATTGCAGTTTGTAGGACCTTACTGTGCACAAGTTAGCTTCCATGTTTCCTTTATTACAATGGTTATGTCACTTAAAAAAACTAATTTCTATGTCCTGAGGTTAGAAACAGCTCTGTATAAATGTAAGTTCATTCTTATTAAGATGCTTGAAGCAGAGCTGTAAGTAAATATTGAAATGTTGTAGCAGCTTGAAATGATAGCTTTGGTAAACATTGTATGTCTTGTAAAACATTCAGTTGGAAAATCCTCAATTTGATGCTGGCCAGCCCCAATTGAGTCAGGAGGAGAGACACTGCAGGTAAGCTCAGTGCTCAGAATGAGCCGGGGCTCCTGCTCTTGGTCAGAAACCTCTATGCAACTTCATAATTTTACCATTTTAGCCCTGGTATCTTTCTGCTGAATCTGTGCTGGAGATGTCCATCCTTTCTGAGGTACATTGGTCAGAGTTGAAAGCAACAATTGCAGGTGGAGGTTGACCAAGTCTCTGAACAATAGAATTGATTCCTCACTTTTGCCACTTGGTGTGAGAACCGACATTTCATTACCTTGTCTATGCGAAATTGATCAAGAATAGGTGTGGGACTGGCCTGTAACCCACTGTCTGCTTGTATTGTCTGCTACAAGAAGAGGTAACCAGAGAGTTCCCTGCATCTCGTTGGTAACTCCAGGTGGAATCACGCTCTCACCCAAGATAAACACAAACCCAGTGTGAAGATGAAGAATTGCATTCGAGCCCAGGGTCTGTCTAAGTGTTTCTGTCACTCACTCCCGTTACAGGTTCAGCAGCTCCACAGAACAAAGCAATTCATCCAAACTCATGAGACGACACAAGCGACGGCGAAGGAAACCGCGGATCCCCCGGATTGAGAGGGTGAGTGGATTCCTTGTCTCTTACTGTAACAAACTGGTGTCTCAAGTCCACTATTTTTGAACTGAACAAAGTGTAGAACATTAAAACAGGTGGAATTGCATTGTCAGGCACCCAGCGCCACCATCCAGCACTCCTGGCATTGATACCAAATTAATCTCCCTCAGCACCATCCGCATTAAATGCTCCAGGATAGGTACAGCACCAGGTTAGATACAGAACAAAGCTCTCTCAAATCTGTCTCCATTGAACACTCCAACATAAGTACAGCACGAGGTTAGATACTGGGCAAAGCTCCCTCAACACTGTCGCCATCAAATGCTCCCAGGGCAGGTACAGCATGGAGTTTGTTCAGAATAAAGCTTCCTCTGTTCTTTTAAATTGAAGGTAAAGTTCCATCGACACCATCCCACTCAAAACCCCCAGGGGCAGGGACAGCACTAGTTAGATGCACAGTAAAGCTGCCTCTACTCTTTTAAACTAGAAACAAATGGAAAGTAAAGTTGACACAGTCCCCATCAAACGCTCCCGGAACTGGTACAGCATGGGGTTAGGTGTAGGGTAAAGTTCCTTCAACTCTTTCAAACTGAAAGTAAAGCTCCTTTGGCACTGTCCCCCTCAAATACTCACAGGACAGGAACAGGACAGCGTTAGGTACATTGTGAAGCTAGGTCTACATTTGCAGTTGTCTGTTCATGACCTGTTTGAGCCTATTACTGGGGATATTAGGTGAGAATGGGGATCTGGTTTGACTGCAGGATTGCTTTACTCAAAGTGTCCGTGGATTCTGACTGGGCAAAGGCATACACCATGGTGTGGAGTCTTGAGACTGCCTGGTACCCACTGAATGTTTCACCAACTTGTGGAGGGTGGGGCAAGTGAACTAACATGAAGAAAAAGGTTGCTCTGAGCTCTTGTGCACACTGTCCATGTGCAGACAAATGATCCAGAAAATCTCAATCAGAGCACGGGCCATTTCCTCACAGAAATTCTGATGAGGGTCTGTGTCACTTTCCTGATCACGAAAGCGTTACTGGAAACTGATGGATTTATTGGGTTGTGTTTCTGCTCTCTTTCAGTCGTCCTCATTCAGTAGTATCACAGACTCCACTATGTCCCTCAACATTATCACCGTCACTTTAAACATGGGTAAGTGCACACTTCTCCACCAGGAAGGGGAAACAGATAGGTGGGTCTGGTGGGAGCAGTTAAGCTGTTTGACAAAAATAATCCTTTGGGAAGTTAAATGCAGAGCGATGTGTGGGCGATTTGCAGACGTATTACAATGATGGAGCATTGCAAGGATTGAATTTTAAAACCAACACATGCCATCTAGAATCATACAATGCAATACAAGGCAGTTCAGTTCATCGTGCCATGTTGGCTCTGTGGAAAAGTTATCCAATTCGTTCCACTCCACTGCTCTTGCACCGCTACCCTGCATCATTTATCCTTTTCAACAACATATGTAATTTTCTTTATGAATGTTACTGTTGGCTCTGCTCCCACCACTTGATCAAACAGTGCATTTTGGCTCGTAACAGTTCAGTGTAAAAAGAATTCTCCTTTTCCCTCCAAAATCAAACAAAGAATGGAGGGTGCTGGAGATTTGAAGCAAACAAAAGTGGAAATTGCTGGGAGAAACTCAGCAGGTCTGGCAGCATTTGTGGGGAGAAAACAGCATAAACGTTTCAAGTCCAGTGACCCTCCTTCAGAAATGCAGTGTATTAATTACTGCATAACGCTGCACTTCTGAAGGAGGGTCACTGGACCCAAAACATTAATGCTGTTTTCTCTCCCTGGATGCTGCCAGACCTGCTGAGTTTCTCTAGCAATTTCTGTTTTTGTTCCTGGGATCTATAGATCAACTTTCTTAGAGTAGAATATCCTTTCATAGAAACGTGTAAACTAGTACAGGGGTACAGGAGTACAGTGAAAAGTTTTTACAATGGCAGCCTTCTAATGGCGCCACCTTAGGTACAAGTACCGAGGTACAAATCTTAGATATGAAAGAGGAATAAAGGGAAAAGTAGTAGCTTTACTTCCAGTGTGTAAAAAAGTAAGTTAGAAATAAGATAGTTATAACATAGTTAAAGGGTTGACATTGAAGTCCAGTAAAAAAGTTTCAAGTAGCAGCAGCTCAGCGCGTAGTCTGACCAGCCGCGCTAGGCACCATTCCAACACCTGTCCCACTCGGCTCCAGGCCTCCAGTCCACTCCACACCGGCACTCAGCTGCACCAACGTACATTGCGCTGCTCCAGGACTCGCTTCCCCTCGCTCCGGGACGTGCTTCCCCTCGCTCCGGGACTCACTTCCCCACGCTCCGGGACTCACTTCCCCATCGCGCTGCACCGGGACTTGCTTCCCCTCGCAATGCTCCTTGACTCGCTTCCCCTTGCTCTGCACCGGGACTCACTTCCCCTCGCGCTGCTTCGGGACTCGCTTCCCCTCACTCCGGGACTCGCTTCCCCTCGCTCTGCACCGGGACTCGCTTCCTCTCGCGCTGCTCCAGGACTCGCTTCCCCTCACTCCGGGACTCGCTTCCCCTCGCTCTGCACCGGGACTAGCTTCCTCTCGCTCTGCACCACGACTCGCTTCCGCTTGCGCTGCTCTTTGACTTGCTTTCCCTCGCACCAGGACTCGCTTCCCCTCGCGCTGCTCCGGGACTCGATTTCCCCTTGCGCTGCACCGGGACTCGCTTCCCGTCGCGCTGCACCGGGACTCGCTTCCCCATTGTGCTGCACCAGGACTCACTTCCCCATCGCGCTGCACCGGGACTCACTTCCCCATCGCGCTGCTCCAGGACTCACTTCTCCTTGCTCTGCTCCAGGACTTGCTCCCCCTCGCGCTGCACTGGGACTCGCTCCCCCTAACGCTGAACCGGGACTCGCTTCCCCTTGCCATCTTGCTGGAAGTCAGTGTTGGGAAAGACAGTGGAATCTTTACTCAAAAACATGGTTTAAAAGAACATCAAGCAAGAAAAATGCAATAAAGTTGAGTCAGCCCAAATTCCAAAACGGAAGGTTATGTTTGAGCAATGTGATTGAATCCTTTGAAGCAGTGCCAGGAAAGGTTAATGCAGTAGACAAAATGTATTTGGATTTTCGAAAGGCCTTTGATAATTTACTGCTGAGTAGATTCATGGCTAAAGTCAAAACATGTGTTCTTAAGGGTCAGATAGCAGAATGGATAGCAAGTTGTCGACAAAACAGAAAGCAGAGAGTCAGTGTTAAAAGCAGCTGTGCAGACTTACAAAGGATAAGGAGTGATATTCAACAAGGAGCTGTGTTGCCACCATTGGTGTTCACTGTTTACATTAAAAAATATTTGGTCTTGAGAATTGGAAAAACAATTTCAAAAATTTCTGTTGACTGTAAATGGCTAATACAGAGGAGGACCATGACAGAAATACAGGAAAGACATTAATAAACTTGCAGAAAGGGGATTAAG